TTTTAACAGGAAGAAACCTCCAGCAGAACCAGGCTCAGGACGAGTGGGTTTGAGAGGAACAAAAAGTAGAACCAGACAAACACAGAATGGCAGGTCCAGGTGAACTTTATATAGGAGGAAAGACAAAAAACACGTTAAGATAGAAGTAATTACAAATACAGACAGGTAGAGTAGAGCAAGTAACGACAGCAGCAGAGTGAGGAAATGTGGTCACTTTGTTCCCAGCAGTCTTAAACCTATAGCAGCATAACTAAGGGATAGCTCTGGAAACCCAAGCCAACACTAACTATAGGATTTATTAAGGAAAGTCTAAAATCTAGTTATAAAACTGAACAATGTGTCAGCCTCATGGACAGAAACTGGAAGATGGTTCCACAAGAGAGGAGCCTGATAACTGAAAAATCTTCCTCCCATTCTGCTTTTGGAAACTCTAGGAACCACGAGTAAACCTGCAGTCTGAGAGTGAAGTGCTCTGTTAAGAAAGTTTGGAACAATAAGATCAGATTTTTTTATTGTAAATCTTTGAATTTAAACTTTCTGACGATGATGAAAGTTAGACACTTGGAAAGACCAGATCTTTGCTTTTGTTTTAAGACCCAGATGAATTACAAACTGCTCGGAAAACCTCAACTTTAGAATTTAATGGAGATATTTTCTACAGTTTTAGACTCCTGCTGCAGCAGAGCTCACATTAAGGTGCTTAATAAACAGTTTTGACTTTACACTCTTTACGTTTTTGTTCCTCAGGACAGCACGAACCATCGACAGCTTGGCCAGCCGCATCGAAGACCCTCAGATCCAGGCTCACTGGTCCAACATCAACGACGTTTATGAGTCCAGCGTCAAGGTGCTCATCACCTCGCATGGCTACGAGCAGATCTGCAAGTAGGTGGATGAGCATAGAAAGAGCTGACAACTTGCTCGTGATGACCCTCGTTAAAGCTCATCGTGTTTTCTGTTTAGGTCCATTCAGCTGCAGCTCAACATCGGAGTGGAGCAGATCCGGGTCGTGCACAGAGATGGTCGGGTCGTCACGCTGTCCCACCAGGAACAGGAGCTGCAGGACTTCCTCCTCTCGCAGGTGTCCCTCTTACTTTTTCCACACAGTTTGCTGGATTTTTTTTCTGAGCTGTCTGTGTGACCGCGCTCTGTGCCGCAGATGTCGCAGCATCAGGTTCACGCCGTGCAGCAGCTGGCCAAAGTGATGGGCTGGCACGTCCTGAGTTTCAGTAACCACGTCGGCCTGGGTCCGGTGGAGAGCATCGGAAATGCCTCCGCCATCACCGTGGCTTCTCCCAACGGAGAGTACGCCATCTCAGGTGAGAGCACATCTTCATGCTTGTTAGTCCTCACTGCTCGGAGCTGCTGGGCCAGGTGTGCACAGTGTGGGCAGGTAAATTACTCTCAGGTGGATCCTTTTTAACTATTTTGATTGATTGATTGATTGATTTTTATTGTCAATTCTGCATATGTACAGGACATACATAGAAATTGAAATTGCGTTACACTCCTACTCAAATTGCAGCAAACAACAACATTAGCAAAAATAAACTAACACAACTAGTTATATAAAAAAATATAAAAAAATATAAAAGTGAACAGCAGCAGGACCTCTGATGCAACGTGCTCAATAGTGACTAACAGGAGACAAAGGGACGCTGACTGAAGACAATAACATGATGAGAGGTAGATAATGGATGTGCAAGGCCAGAGTAAACAATAGTGCAATATAAAGTATAAACCTGAGAAACTTAGTAAAGTGAAGGTGTGCATACCGGTTCTATATAGTCACAGTTATGTACTGATGAGGTGATTAAGTGGAAATGACAATACCAGAATTACCAGAATAAAGAATAAACAGGACGAGTTGATCATAACAGTAGTGCAAAATATAATGCAATAAACAGTAGAGTGAGCTTGTAGGCTGTTAAAGTGACCGATTCATGAACTATTCATAAAACTAAATAAATGTCCCAGAGCAGTTTTGAAGGGGGGGGGGGTGAGGGGGGGGTGTCAGGAAGCTGAGTTAGTGTGTGCAGGGTGGCAGAAGTGGGAGAGGGGGCTGAGGGGGGGCAGGCAGAGAGTTCAGCATCCTCACGGCCTGATGGACGGAGCTGTTCCACAGTCTGCTGGTCCTAGAACTGAGGCTACGCAGTCTCCGCCCTAATGGCAGCAGGTTGAAGAAGCAGTGTAGCGGGTGGTCAAGATCTCCCACCCAGCAGAGGGCTTTACTTCTGAGGCAAGAGCTGTGGAGGTCCTGAAGGCAGGGGAGAGAGGTGCCAATGATCTTCTCAGCTGTCCTCACGATCCGCTGGAGGGATTTGCGGCAGGATGCTGTGCAGGCCCCGTACCACACAGTGGAGCAGCTCATCAGGATGCTCTCGATGGCCCCCCTGTAGAAGGTTGTCATGATGGGGGTGGGGGCTCTCGCTCTTCTCAGCTTGCGGAGGAAGTAGAGCCGTTGGTGAGCCTTTTTGGCCACTGCTGCTGTGTTGATGGTCCAGGAGAGGTCCTCAGAGATGTGCACACCCAAGAACTTGGTGCTGCTCACCCTTTCCACAACAACACCGTTGATGGATAGTGGAGCATGTTTTGTCTGAGTTCTCCTGAAGTCCACAACAATCTCCTTGGTCTTCTCTGTGTTCAGCAAGAGATTGTTGCGTTTGCACCAGGAGACCAGCCGGCTCACCTCGCTCCTGTAGAGTGACTCGTCGTTGTTGCTGATGAGGCCTACCACAGTCGTGTCGTCCGCAAACTTGATGAAGAGGTTGGAGGGGTGTGATGGAGAGCAGTCGTAGGTTAGTAGAGTGAACAGAAGGGGGCTCAGCACACATCCTTGTGGGGCCCCCGTGTTCAGAGTGATGATGCTGGATGTGTTGCTGCCAACCCGTACTGCCTGTGGTCTTCCGGTAAGGAAGTCAAGCAGCCAGTTGCACAGTGATGTGTTCAGACCCAGACTGTCCAGTTTCCAGATGAGTTGTTGTGGAATGATTGTGTTGAATGCAGAACTGAAGTCGATGAAGAGCATTCTGACATAGGTGTCTTTCTTGTCCAGGTCTTAATTAATTCAGATATTTAGCTTAGATCCAACTGTTTATTCATTTATTTATTGAGTGGTCGTTCACATTATCATTAAAATGTCGCCCCCATCAGAGCCCAGCGTGAACCGTTTACAGATGAGAGGCGACAAGCGAGCCCAGAAGAAAACGTGGCGTCACACGCAGCACGCTGTGTTTTCAAGAAGTACCGTAAATATATGGCGGTGGCATCGATGCGCTCCAACACAAACGTCGGTGTAGATGTTTCTGTAGATTCTGTCATCCAGGACAGGATGAAGCCAAAACACAAAGATGAACTTTTGTTCTGTGGCTGAAGATTTCAATTCAATTCAATTTATTTATACAGCGCCAAGTAACAAAAGAAGTCGTCTCAGGTCACTGAACAGAAACATTCTTATATAAAAATAATAATTTAACATTATTTATCTGAGGAGCAGACTGCCTTGAGTTTAACTCCATCACAGAACTCTCATCTTGAGCATGAAGGCGACAGTGGAAAGGAAAAACTCCCTCATGACGAAGAAACCTTTAGCAGCACCAGGATCTGGAGAAGCGTCTGCTTCGACCGGCTGGGTTTGGTAGGAACAGATACACAATGGCAGGTCAAGAATCACATGTTGAGATAGAAATAGTATCAAATAAAAACAAATTTTAACAAATCATTTAAGGAAATGGGGTCAATTTGTCCTCTAGTGGTCTAAGCTTAAGACAGCATGACTAGCCGACCCTAACTATAGGATTTATCAAAAAGGAAAGTCTTAAGCCCAGTTTTAAAACTGGACAATGTGTCAGCCTCACGGACAGAAACTAAAAGTTGGTTCCACAAGAGAGGAGCCTGATAACTGGAAGCTCTTCCTCCCATTCTGCTTTTGAAAACTGTAGGAACCACGAGTAAACCTGCAGTCTGAGAGCGAAGTGCTCCGTTAGGAAAATATGGAACAATAAGATCTGTAATATAAGATGGAGCTAGGTTGTTGAGAGCTTCGTATGTTAGATGCGAACTGTACAAGATCGGTATCGTTATTATTAATACTTGGATCGATCCGATCACCTCCTACCTCGCTGACGTAAAAGTTGGATGAAATGCGACATGACCGTTCGACTGATGTCGCTGTGAAACATCGGATATGTTTCCAAATCATTGCTTCGTATGACAGAGAGCTGGATCTGATTTTTTTAAATTAAAATTATATTACCCATAAAAATTATATAATCAATTTTATTTAATCATTAAAAAAATATATATAAAAAAATCACATTTGTCACATTCAGACTGTCATGAAAAATTCTGATAACGATCACATTTGCCTGCAGCGTGAACGTAGCCGAAGTAACTCAGAGTCGACAGAAAGTAGCTGAACTGAATCTAACCTGTTCCGTCCGGTGTTGAGTTCCTTTTTACCAAAAGAGGCAATAAATCTGCTCTGATGGTTCTTACAGATTGTTAGTAATGTAGTTTAAATATTTCAGTGAGCGTTGAAAGATCTGAGGCGATAAACTGAAGGATCGTAGTAAAAAAAAGTCTCACCTCAGAAGAATGTCAGGAACGAGTCCTGTCGATATTACAACCTCGAGTCTCGTAGGAGACTTTCTGATCGTCTTTACGTTTTCAAGCTTTCTTTATTAATGCGCCGTTTCGTTCCTGCGTCTCTCGTCAGTGCGTAACGGACCGGAGAGCGGCTGCAAAGTTCTGGTCCAGTTTCCCCGCAGTCAGGTCAAAGATCTGCCGAAGAGCGACGTCATCCAGGACGCCAAGTGGAACCACCTCCGCGGCCCGTCCAAAGAGGTGCACTGGAACAAGATGGAGGGACGCAACTTCGTCTACAAGATGGAGCTGCTCATGGCTGCTTTCACTCCCTGCCCTTAGATGAAGCCCCTCTGCTTCACAGTAACTGGCTCACGTTCTCTACAAGCGGCAGCTCCTTAAAGACAATTTGAGTAACAATCTGCTTCAGGAGGGAAAAAACAAACCTTCCTGCCTGCAGCCAGATCAGCTGTTTCTGATGGCGCCTGGTGGGAATTTAAACGTTAAACGGGTCAACACGAAAACAAAAAACACAAGTCTGTGTCTGAACTTGAAACGATGCCCTAATTTAAATTAACAGCTTAAACACCTCCGTCTCGTGTTGTGATCGTTTTGCTCCAAGCGTGAAACAGACGCCAGCTTGTTTTCACCAACATCACACAGTCGCTTTAATTTTATAATAAATACATTGTGTAATATTTTCTGTTGTGATCTGTGATCTATTTACATCGTTCCATTGTCGTTTGCAGCGAACTTAAAAGTACAAAATGTAAACCGGCTGCAGGTTTTGCTGTAGATTTTGATGACTTGTTTAAAAATGACAGTTTTTGACTCGTTCGATCAGTCCCAGGTCCGACCGGGTCCCTCGCAGTCTTCATGGCACCCACTGGTCAGTTAAAGGGGCTGCAGCTCTGTTGCATCGGCTTCTGCAGAAAAAGAGGAGACGTTTGTCCATATACAACCTTAAAAGACTTGAATAACAAAGGTTTTATAGAACCTCCTCAACCTTTGTACTCCTAACACGCCCATGCGTGCAGTGGATAACATCACGCCACATTTACACCTGTCAAACTATGTTTATACAAACACTTCCAGTTAAAATAGCAGTACCCACTGGTGTTCAGCGTCTGGATTTAAGTGCTATGTGTTGTCATCATTGCATGTTCTCATACAATGGTGAAATGAGTTCTCTGTATTTAACCCATCACACGTGAGATACACCCAGGTGGAGCAGTGGGTAGCTGTGTAAGCGCCGGGGGAGCAGTTAGGGATTAGGCGTCTTGCTCAAGCACACCACTACATGTGGGCATGGCTGGGAGTCGAACCATGACTTTCTGGTCCCAGGTCGGCTGCTCTACCTCTACCACATTTCAGGCCCCTCGGATTTAGGATTAGACTGAAAGCTCAAGCCAAGTGTTTACCTGGCATCTGTTTCCTGCGTCTCCATGCCTTGATCTTCCTGCAGATCTTGTGCAGCAGCCACATGGCCAGCATGAGGAGTCCGGCCAGAGTGATCAGAGCTAAAGCAGTAACGAACAGGTACTGAAGGTCCTCGTACAGAACCTCTGAGGACAGAAACACAAGAGACCCATCACATTTAACCTTCAGGGTTAGACTACGGTCAAAGGTCGGCCGAAAGTTTTTGGTTCAAATGTTTAAGCAACATGTTAAAAAAACACAAATCTCATGGTACTCAACAACGTCTTATACACAGCGTCTTGTGAAAGTATTCGTCCCCCTTGAACTTTTCAACCTTTTGCCACATTTCAGGCTTCAAACATAAAGAGATACATTTTTAATTTTTTGTGAAGAATCAACAACAAGTGGGACACAATCGTGAAGTGGAATGAAATTTATTGGACGTGTCAAACTTTTTTAACAAATAAAAAACTGAAAAGTGGGGCGTGCAATATTATTGGGCCCCTTTACTTTCAGTGCAGCAAACTCAGTCCAGAAGTTCAGTGAGGATCTATGAATGATCCAATGTTGTCCCAAATGACTGATGATGATAAATAGAATCCACCTGTGTGTAATCAAGTCTCCGTATAAATGCACCTGCTCTGTGATAGTCTCAGGGTTCTGTTCAAAGCGCAGAGAGCATCATGAAGACCAAGGAACACACCAGGCAGGTCCAAGATACTGTTGTGGAGAAGTTTAAAACCGGATTTGGATACAAAAAAATTTCCCAAGCTTTAAACATCCCAAGGAGCACTGTGCAAGCAATCATATTGAAATGGAAGGAGTATCAGACCACTGCAAATCTACCAAGACCCGGCCGTCCCTCTAAACTTTCATCTGGAACAAGGAGAAGACTGATCAGAGATGCAGCCAAGAGGCCCATGATCACTCTGGATGAACTGCAGAGATCTACAGCTGAGGTGGGAGAGTCTGTCCATAGGACAACAATCAGTCGTACACTGCACAAATCTGGCCTTTATGGAAGAGAGGCAAGAAGAAAGACATTTATCAAAGATATCCATAAAAAGTGTTGTTTAAAGTTTCCCACAAGCACCTGGGAGACACACCAAACATGTGGAAGAAGGTGCTCTGGTCACATGAAACCAAAATCCAACTGTTTGGCCACAATGCAAAACGATATGTTCGGTGTAAAAGCAATACAGCTCATCACCCTGAACACACCATCCCCACTGTCAAACATGGTGGTGGCAGCATCATGGTTTGGGCCTGCTTTTCGTCAGCAGGGACAGGGAAGATGGTCAGAATTGATGGGAAGATGGATGGGGCCAAATACAGGACCATTCTGGAAGAAAACCTGTTTGAGTCTGCAAGAGACCTGAGACTGGGACGGAGATTTATCTTCCAACAAGACAATGATCCAAAACATAAAGACACATCTACAATGGAATGGTTCACAAATAAACGTATCCAGGTGTTGGAATGGCCAAGTCAAAGTCCAGTCCTGAATCCAATCGAGAATCTGTGGAAAGAGCTGAAGACTGCTGTTCACAAACGCTCTCCATCCAACCTCACTGAGCTCCAGATGTTTTGCAAAAAAGAATGGGCAGAATTTCAGTCTCTCCATGTTCAAAACTGATAGAGACAAACCCCAAGAGACTTGCAGCTGGAACTGCAGCAAAAGGCGGCGCTACAAAGTATTAACGCAAGGGGGCCGAATAATATTGCACGCCCACTTTTCAGTTTTTTATTTTTTTTTTTAAGTTTGACACATCCAATAAATTTCATTCCACTTCACGATTGTGTCCCACTTGTTGTTGATTCTTCACAAAAAATTTAAATTTTATATCTTTATGTTTGAAGCCTGAAATGTGGCAAAAGGTTGAAAGGTTCAAGGGAGCCGAATACTTTCGCAAGGCACTGTACTTCTTGTATCCAGTGTCGGTATTCAACTCTGGTCTTTTAGACCTTTACACCAGAATTCTCTTTTTTTTTGGGGG